GCTCGACATACAATGTCATATTAACTACAACCAGTTGTTATTACAGCCCAAGTATATGAAGGAGCTGGAGGCTGTGACCAGGGGCTGATCACGCATGATCTATCGGTGAATGTGCTATTGAGTTGCGTCGTTTACGATAAAGAGGGGACGATGCGCCGTATAGAATCTGGGGCGATACTAAAACCAATTAGCGTATGCAATCTAAGCTCACGCAAACGTCCGCTTAGGAGTCGTAACGCCGTTGGCTGCGGCGCAATTCGGCATCTTGCCCTTCCATCAACAACGCTTGGGTCTCATCAAAGATACTGGTCCGTTGAATGATACAGATAATTTTTCCACCTGCTCCGCCACTTCAGCCTTCATGTCATCCTCGGTCTTCCCCACGAATAACCGTATTCTGCCCCAGAAAGTTTTAGGGCACAAGCCGGTTAGGTTGGAGAACGCGGGGTCAAAAGCCATCCGGAATCGGGGTCTTACCGCTTCTTGGGTTTGCAAAGTATATAAAACCTTGCCAGTGTAGGTTAGCTGTTGTAGGACATTGTTCGCGTTGGAAGCAGATGTACTGATATCCTACACCGGTTACGGCACCGGTTGCGGTTCCCCTTCAGAAACCCCCCCCGTGTGAGAGCTTCGGTCGTACCATTGTCAGTAGGTTATGACACGACCGAAGCTCCCAATTCACCGTGCAGGAGGCTGGGTTGATAAAAAAACATCAACAATTAGCTACACCAACAATTGTTGTCCGTTCAATACGTGATCGCCCGGGTTATGGATTTATCGGATTTGCTATGATTAATACTGCGGGATTAATACTGCGGGAATACATCCATTTTATTAGACCATCGAACACGGAATCGAACATGGAATCGAACACGGAATCGAACACGGAATCGGTCATCATTCGTGACAACTGGCGGGATACGACTTCGTGTCAGGAGCACCGCCAGCTGCATAATTAAATAAACGAGGTACCAGAGCCGCACACGTGTGCACACTTCACTTCGAGTTTGGTTGAGCCATGGCATCGTTAACCGCGCACCGGCGGAGGACGGACGTGCGCCATATCGCGCCATATCGGATGTGGTCCGCTAATCTTTTGTAAAAAGTTATTTCTTTGTCCCTGGTAGCAAGTGCACTGACAGGCCGCATCTCTTCTAAGTGGGACAAGCTGAATCCTAGTGGACATAAAATGAGGGAGTAATTAAGTTGTGAAAGAGATGAAGTTTGTTACTATCGTGAGCGCCGTAGCTGTGGTGGCTGTGGTGGCTGTAAAAGATGTGGTCTCTGAATGTGAGAGCCGTATCAAAGCGAGTCAAGATGGTTGGGATGCTACGTGTCAGTACTGGTGTGGTCAGTATGCTCCGGTTAAGTGTCAAGGTGTTATGGATGCCGCTGGCTTGATTACTTGCATCCAGAAAGAGGTCACGTACTGCTACGATCCGTTGGCCACTGTGGGAGATGATAAGGCCGCCTTGACTGACGAGGAATTAGTGAGCGGCTGCGAAGCGAAGATGAGTTCTACTAAGTACGAGTGGATCCCTACGTGCAAAAACTTTTGCAAGTCGTTCCTGCCCGGCCAGAGAGGAAACTGCTCAAAGGAAGCGAAGGACGTGGACACGTTAATCGAATGTGTGAACGAGACCTTCGACTACTGCATTTCAAAGGATGACGAAAGTGGTGATCTGGTCGAGCTCTGCGAACAACAGATTCACACCACGAAGCAGGAGTGGCTTCCTACTTGCCAGCGATGGTGTTCGCAGTACGCACCAGGCACTGAGCTTGGAGCCACTTGCGATGGCACGATAGAAAAAGTTTACGACCTCATTCACTGCATCAATAAGTACCAACCATACTGCTTCTGATCACGAAACCAGTCACGTTTCTTCTAATCAGAGTTGCAAAGGGTCCTGCCGCAGGCGATCCTGCCGCAGGTGGCGCCAACAAAGCAGGTGGCGCCAATCAAACAGTTGGCCCAGGCGTTGATGAAGGAGTATTTTTATTTGATGAATCAGAAATTTAAATACATTGATGATAGAGGAGGTCGAAGAAGCACACAGATTAGACAGACCTCCACCACAGAGACTCGAACCCGGATGGCTGCGGTACTGAGGCTGGACGGCAAAGCCTCAGCATTGGCGTCCAGCTGCCGTGGTTCTTTTGAGTAAGAGCTATTTTGCGGTGACAAAAACCCGCCCATTTTATTGAAGCATGAGCAGTAGGAAACGAGGGGCGGAAATATCTGCATATGACCTGTACCAACAGTCCGGAAATAGACAAC